GAGGATTGGAAATTTTAATTCTGCACGTGATTAAGTTATGCGTAATAAAAAGAATTTGATTCATAAAGAAAGTTTTTAAAAAAAATGGTTTCAGAATATTACGAAGATTTTAAAATTCAAGAGACTTCTATCATTCAAAATTATGAAATAATTGCACCCTTTTATTTAACAATTCCTAACGAAAAAAATTTAGATGTATATTTTCAACTTATCAATGATACTCCTGTCGAATTTTACTCATATTTGTACGATAGCGAATTTTCTATCAAAGCGGAGTATGCAAATATTATTAGTTATTCGAAAAATAGATTTGTGAAGTTTCAAAATGTTACTTTTTTCGACCGTTACGAGAAAACTATTGAAGCTGATAAAATAGAGTATATAATGTATTATACGGATGGATTTTTTTATTGAGATTACATTGAAAAGGGGTTTTATCGTGAATCTGCAACATATATTAAATATTTTATTTTAACAAATACTTATACGTTTGTTGATTCTAAAAGTACGCATTCTCTTGAGAGAATAATGGTTTTTTAATTACTAATTAGTTGCTTATATTTGATAGTTTTATTTTTCATTTATTTATCTTTCGATATATTGTTTCAAATTTGACGTTTTTGATATCTTCATGAATAATGCATTAGAAACGAACATTTTGCATTATAATAATAAAGTTATATGAATAGCTTTATGTATTAAACCTAATCTGGAATTAAATATGTAATTTTAATCAAATAAATCTTATATAAAGATCCACCCTCGCACTACTCACAATTTTTTTCAAAATTCTTTGTAAAAGAAAAAACAATTAAACATGTCTCAAAATTTCGATCCCGATCTTTCAGAATCATCCAATTACAAAATCGCCAAAAGTCTTGCACTCATAAGATTAAACCATGTGTTGTTTTATTTTGGCATAGAATTATATCCTATTAATATAAGGGAAGAAGAAAGTTTCATTGACAATGCAAGACAAGAACTTAATACACGCGGAAATTTCGACGTGTTAACAACCAATTTAAGATATATATACATGTTTTTGGATATAGTATATTCTTTCACTGTAATGAAATTCGGACTCCCTGGCGAACAATTATCCGAAAATCTTTTCATTATCATAGTAAAATATATAATCATGTTTTGTATCTTTTCTTTTTTCATAGGACCTCCCATTTTTTTACTTTACAT